CCTCCTTAACTGAACGCCCTGTATTTACATAGATATTTTAAAATGTGGAAGAATTAAACATCGTCGTTTCGTTAATTTAGCTGTTGTTACCGGAGAACTTTTGTTTCAAGTGACATGTACAATACGTTTTCCGAAGGGTGGCCTTCGCGTTGTTGGATACGTCGGTTCCTTACTCCTGTAATGTAGGCAGATATTCCTGAAAAAAAGAGCTACTTCAGTGTTACCAAGACCTAAAATTTCCTGACGATTATATTTCTGTAAGGATCGATAATCCGATGTGTACCGATGTGGGTAAAGCAGGAGGAGCGTGAAGCTGACCATCCAACTCCGTCAACTGCCTAGATTAAGAAAGATGGAGCTATACCTCCACTCCAGCCGGTAACCGTAGCTGACCAGTCTGAGGCATGAACTGTCTTCACTCGCTCGGAAGTCGGGATGGTGTGTTCGAATCCTACTCAGGGCATGGATGTTCAGTGTTTGTGCCTGTAAGTACAGGTAGAGGCCTTGCGACGAGCTGATCACCCGCCCAAGGAGTCCCACCGAATGTCTAAAATCTTGTAAACCGAATTAAAACGGAGAGTTTCATGGAGGTAGGCCACGGCCAAAATTGGGGCTGTAGCGCAAAAGGAAAAAGAAATACCTGCATCCCGCGTGTGTTTTCATGACATGTTGTTTCATTAATTAAGCATAGACTTTACCTTTTGCTTACCTCCATCAATTTCGAGGTTAAGAAGACTTGAAGCAATACCTCCACGTCCCCACACATGTTCGTGGCGCGTTGCTTAAGCATATATATACATAACTATGTTTCCACTCAGTGTTTTTACGTGTAACATGAAGTTTCTTAAAATATCTTCAGAGAGTGACTGCCTGGCCCCCAGACAGTCATTGTACTGTTGAATGCAGGACAATGCCCGTTGCATCTGCTGACAAGGCTTCAGCAAGTCGGGCCGCGGTTTGAAACGCATGATTAATTAATTACTCCCATGGGAAATAATTACAAGTTCTCTGAAAGAAAACGGCGCTCATTAAGGGCAGTTTAATTTGCTGGGCTGAGGTGTTTGATGCAGATGAAGCGTTGAAACAATTATTAGAATTATTTCCCGTTAACTTGGCGCTCTTTAACGGTTCAGAAGGCTCAGACCGAAAATGTCAGGATGGAGCTTTCAATTTCTCTTCCTAATTTTCATCGTATTTGTAATTCTTCTTATCACTTTTCTCTTCCAGCTTCTGCTCACTTATCTTTTATAATTCTTCTCCCTTTCTTGTTCTCCTAGTTCTTTCTTCCTTTTTCCTCCTGTTCTTTTCCGTCTATTTTAAATTGTTCTCATTCCCTTATTCTTCCTCTCTTCTCCGGTTCTCTTCCAAGTCCAACATCATCTTACCCCTTCTTTCTTTTCACCTTCTACCTCTTCTATCCTTCTTTCTCTTCTCCGCTTCCTTCTATCTCAAGTTTGAGCAATATTGGATCGTTCCGGTATGGATGAACTCTGTATTGTCCCCTCAAGGTCACTGTGTTCATTATTCTCACACCGAAATTTGGCTTCAAATGGGGCCTCCATTTCGAGGGAACAAGCGATAAGCACTGTGATCTGGTCTTAACTACTCAGATTCCACGCTACGAATTATGTTACGTCATAACTTGTATACGCAACCTCATAGTACTGTCACTTTTGTGACTATAGACGGGGTATCGATTAGTGAATAGACTTACTGACCACTTACAGACTGTAACTACAAATAACTGTAACTCTATCGCTGATTTCCACTCTTTACAGTTCACTAGAGTCCAGTGTCGTCTGTTAGTAGACATTTCCTGGTAACGGTTTCAACAATGGTTATTCCTCTGCCTCCGCTTTAAGTCCTCTCTTCATGGACTCCCTTACAGAACTGACTCTCAGTAATCCCGATTATTAATGAGGAAGGAACATCGACTGAGGGTGTCTGAGAACAGGGTGTTGAGGAGAATATCTGGACCGAAGAGGGATGAAGTGACAGGAGGTTGGAGAAAACTGCGTAATGAAGAGTTTGATAATTTTGCTATTCGCCAAATATTGTAATAACAATTTAATGTAGGAGAATGAGAGACAGGGCATACAGCATGCAAGGGAGAAAAGGAACGTGAGCAATAAGCCCTGGAAGGAAACATTGAAGGAAAGAGAACACTTGGAAGACCAAGACGTAGATCGGGTCACATGAAAATCGATCTTAAAGAAGTAAGAATGGGGGGTGCGCATTGGATTTATCTGGCTCAGAATAGAGACCATTAGCGGACTGTTCCATAAAATGCTAGTAATTACCTAAGTAACAGAAATTACTGCAGTGTCAATAAGGACTCGGCTGCATGCAGCTACACGTAAGCGTCTCGATCGAGTGATTATATTTATGTGTGCTCTATTATGAAATTAATTACTTTGGTATTCCATCCAATTATAATTGTTTATGGACTCTACATCGTTACTGACTGTAAAATAAAAGTCAATATGCATGAATCTACAGTAGTTCTAGATAAAGCCGCCCGTCACGACATCTGTTGGTTAAATTTCAAGCTTCTAATGACCAAACATAAAGAACCGGTGCCAGGTAACGGCTACTTGCTCTCGTATTTGGTGCTTGTGTGTTACACTTAAAATAAAGAGCGTTAATACGTCAACAAAGGATTTGTCCCAAGATAATATGAATTTACAGGTAACACTCGAGTAAGTTTTACTGAAATAATTACTTAATATCACATTTTGAGCTCTAAGAGGCTGAATATATAATTAGAATGATCAAGTCAAGGAGGATGAGGTGGGCAGGGCATGTAGCACGAATTGGAGAGAAGAGGAATGCATGTAAAATACTGGAGGGAAAGCCAGAAGGAAAGAGACCACTGGGAAGACCAAGGCGTAGGTGGGTGGACAATATTAAAAAGGATCTTAGAGAGAGAGAGGGTGGGATGATATGGATTGGATTTCTCTAGCTGAGGATAGGGACCAGTGGAGGGCTCTTGTGAACTCAGTAATGAACCTTCGGGCTCCATAAAATGCTGGGAAATTCTTGAGTAGCTGCAGAATTGGCGGCTCCTCAAGAAGGGCTCAGCTCCATGATTAAGTAAGTAAGTAAGGGGCTGAATATTAAGATTGATGTGACGTCTAAAAGAGTCCGTTACGTAGATATAGAGGTTTCGAAGGAATTTCTTGTCTCCATCTTCAGGGTAGGAGTGTACCTCATATTTTTCCACCATGAAGATGGAAGCAGTAGGACATCGAAGAAGATTATACTTCTGATTGTCATACATCTGTTACTTCTGTATTAAATTGCATAACTTCCATTCCTCATAGGGTGTCTAAGGAGGGCATATAAGGATTAGGCTAGGGGGTGAACCAACGAGGAATTGTGGTTCGATTCAATGCATGGAAAATTAATCTTATGTTCTCCATAGAGTCCAGACCGCCTCTAGGGCCCACCCAGCCTCCTGTCCGATTGCTACTGAGGGCTCTATCCACAGATAAGTCTCAAGGAACAGGTTAATATGGTGGGGCGGATGTAGGGGTGATGAAACTGACAGGCTAAAAAATGTCTTCCACCCCGCAGTCCGTTTTCAGCATATTGTGGAAACCAAATCCGTTATAACGGATATGACGTCGGTACATAGGTTTTGCCTTCCGGAAAAGTGGCAGCTCAAGGTACTACGTACCCTCAGAGATGTTTCGCAAGGGTTACATCTGTTGTCTCGGGTATTTTGTTTACTTGCCTTCACCCCTGCAAACTTACCGTGCAGAATTCAATAAGTGTATATACTCAATGCTTTGCATACTCATTAGAGCGAAGGGAAACACTACTTCGTATTGAGGCAGTTGGCTGCCGCGCGAACAGGTGCACTCACAACCGAATGTAACAGTCTAGTAAATCAACTTCCTGGAGAAGCTGCCAGTTGTGCAGCTACTCAAGAACTTCCCGACATTTTATGGAACCTATCTCAATCCAGTCCACACCGCTCCATCCTATGTCCATAACATCTATCTTAATATTACACATCCACGCACGTCTTGTTCTTCCCAGTGGTCTCCTTCCTTCTGGCTTTCAAACCAGTATTTTATATTCATTCGTCTTCGTCCCCATTCGTGCTTCATGCCCTGCCCATCTCATCCTCCTTGACTTGATCATTCTAATTATACTTGGAGAAGAGTACAAGTTATGAAGCTCCTCATTATGCAGTTTTCTCCAACCTCCTGTCACTTCATCTCTCTTCGGTCCAAATATTCTCCTCAGCACCCTGTTCTCCAACACCCTCAGTCTATGTTCCTCCCGTAATGTCAGAGACCAAGTTTCACACCCATCTGTAACATCTAATATAGGCTAAAATACCAAATAAAGATGTCTGTACTTACCCGTTTCGTGTACTCTGCATTTCAGTGATGATGTTTGGTTGTGTGGCTATTCATAAATTAAACACAACATCTCTATTTTACAGCGGAAGCCAAATGACAATTCGATTTGAAAGATTCTGACGTTGTTTAAGGAAGACTAAATTTAAAACTAAGTTGTTATTAGAGTTTCACATTGTGTGTATTGAATGCAGAAGCAACAAGTCCTGCAGTCACTTCTATTATCTTACGTGTTTACAAACGAATATATTTATATTATAATAAATTATACATAACGCGAAACGGTGATTATATATTACATACAAAGAATATACTCTGTAACATAGAACTATAGCAGACAGTAATCAGGATACATTGAACATTTGGATCTATACATCCACTCCCCCATACGCTTTCATGGTGTAGTGCTTAATTAGTTAAGAACAAGGATAATTTTTTTCCTTGGCACTACAGCCCCAGTGGGCCTAGGCCTACCTCCATGAACTTCTCCGTTCACTTCGTTTTTTCTAGATCTTACACATTCGGTAGGACTCCTTGGGCGGGTGATCAGCTCGTCGCAAGGCCTCTACCTGTACACAAACACAGAAAAACATACACACACAAACTAAACATCCATGCCCTGAGTGGGATTCGAACCCACGATCCCGGTTTCCAAGCAGCGAAGAGGGATAAATTTCCCTTTCATATTTAACGAGCACCTCAGCCACAATCTGAAATGTACATAAAATTTCAGGTATAAAGTATGTTAGCCACTGCATAATAACAGGGAACCTGTTATCAGGTAAATGTACCAGTAAATTTCATTTATCTCGCCAGTAGCTCGTGAAGTGGGCACTTCAGCTGTCTCGTGACATCCGCGTTACAAGGAGGATCTTTTGTATTTTAACAGCGTTGAGGATGGAAGTGCTAGGCGCAATATCTTTTCTCTTCTGGAGACCTCTGACTCACCTGGAACTGCATTAGGACTGCCAGGTACGTCAATGTGGTTGAAAAGTACTGAAAACAAATGAAGAACAAAAAAAGGTTAATTTAGACTCTGATTCTGAATTATGACACTTGCCGGGATAGCTACAGGCTGGATGACCGAAGGGTCGGAATTCTAGTCCCGGTAGGGTCAAGAATTTTCTTTTCTCCACGTCGTCCAGACCGCATCAGGACCCACCCAGTCTCCTATTTAATGGGTATAGCGGGCTCTTTCCCCGGGGGTAAATCGGCCGGGGCGTGAAGCTCACCACTCACCTCCAATTAATACCGAAGTCAAGAAAACATGGATCTATACATCCACTCCCCCATACGCCATCATAAGGGTGTACGTAGTTAAGCACATAGACAACTTTATGAGAGTGATGAAACTTTCTAAATGGAGATTGTATTACCAACGTTTCGGGTATCTTTACTGTTTCTATCTTAAAGGCGAAATTACTGCGGAATTTCCCCCTGCGCTGCTTATCATGCCAGTGACAACCCAGGCAGTTAATCACAGACTTGCCTTCGTGGCAGCCTCAACTCCCCCCATACGTCATCATAAGGGTGTGCGTAGTTAAGCACATAGACATACACGTATTTACTTTTACATTTACATCTCCCGTTCATTTGTCGTTATATTCTACAAAGCACACGGAATATGAAACTTATCAACAAATCTCTCAAAACCTTTCATTCAGCGGTGATATACACGTAGTTCAGTACATAAAGTTGTCCCTCCGCTTAACTGAGCATCAGCCCGAGATATCGTAAAGGAGAGTGGAGGTATGGCTCCACTGATTCTAAACCGAGACAGTGGATGGAAGTAGTCAGCTTCATAGCGACGACTCCTTTAACTTCGAGGATATAACCCCCGGTATCCATAGGAGAGGAGACTTGATGGGCCTCAGAGTGAGTCTCAATGCTGTAGAGGAGAGAAATATCTCTTCCTCTTGCCGGGAATCGAATTCCCATTCCTCTATTATCCGGTTCATAATCTAGTTTCTAACTAAAAACTAAATTCACTGGCTTATAGTCCACAAGAGAACTATACCGACCGAGCAACCGCCTCTTTTCGGCGAAGTTAGTGCCAACTTTTGCGGATAGAGAGTGTTGCGTGGTCAGCACAACGGATCCCCACGGCCGTTAATCTAGGTTTTCTAGGCCGGAGCTGCTATTTCCTTGAAATAACTCCTCAGTTATCCTCACGAGGCTGAGTGGACCCCGTTCCAGACCCACTACTTCTCAGAAAATCTGTTAGCGCCGGGAATCGAACCCGGGACCTCTGGATATGTAGCCAGGAGCTCTGATCGATAGACCACAAAGGAGTATCTATATAAACTACTTCAGTGCGGTAATAAAATGGGATATGCAGGTCAAAAAATGCGTTAGCTCACAGTCTGGAACGTTAAGAGTCGTTATGATTAAATGTAACATGGCTTTAACAAACAGACGAACACGAATACTTACGGACGTCATTAATGCTCTGTTGACGTTCACAAATCCACAGTAACTTATTACTGGGGGGTTCCTTCGAACTAGTGCCAAGAAATTTCTCATCTGGAACACAGAATTGCTTGCGTGAGTTGAGGCTCTAACTGCTGTGGCTACGAACAGTACAAAGTAAATCTCGCTGTATGAGCTTTCGTTACCCACCTTTCCTTGTATTCACTGTTTTTTTGTGTCAACGTCGCGAAGCGCATCAATCAGTTGCGACGATGGAACTAGGTGCGCATGTGCAGTGAGCTGCGCGCGCAGTTTCTCTGTCCCGTTCCACCATGTTGATTCACTCAACCCGTTTCCTGTTCCTTCTGTATTAGGCTCAGTGCTTGCCTCTTTTCGCGCGTCTTCCAAATACGCGGTCTCAGCGCATAACCAGTCATCTTTAGTCTCGTCTGTGTTGTGACACCGTGTGATCTCATAGATTATTACCAAAGTCATTTGACTTAGAGTCTATGGTTTTATTTATTATATTGCTTCTTGTTTCTGAACCTATTGTTTTCTTGTCTATAGTGTCTCCATATCCATCTGCACGATGAATGGCTTCTGGCGCATTTGCTTACAGAATCGATTGCAGTTGTTTTGCACGTATGCTTTTGTTAACAAATCAAATAGACAGAAAATATTACCGACCGAGTTAGAGTAACTGGCTCTGAACTCATATTACGTATGAAGGTCTTTCGACTGAGACGCCAGCTATACTTACTCAGGTTCTACGTGATTTTCCTCAGACACAGCAGCCAGATACCGGGTATTACCCCAATTAGCCCATGACGGCTTCCTTCCAAATAGAACTGTAGTTTAATACGAGGTCAGATACTGATAAACAGGTCTGAACCTTGACTTCCCGGAACATGACCTTGTAGGTTCCATGTTATAATGAGCTCTAGTTACGACCATTTGGGGGGGGGAAATCACTGAACCGTAAATCCGAGGTGCGATATTGTACTCACCTCGTGTACTCCCTCACAGCATGTGACTGGCATGTTATTCGTTATAGCTTGAAGGCGTTCCGAAAATTTGGCGCCTACCTGCAAATTTTATACAAATTATGTAAAAATATTGAATTTTCCATCATTCCTGGTCTCATAATAGTTTTCTAAATATTCATCAGCTAATGTAATGTCCTTCTTTTAACCCTAACTAACTAACTAACTAACTCACTTCAAGGAATTGAACCCTTCTTGAGGAGCCGCCGATTCTGCAGCTAATCAAGAACTCCACAGCATTTTATGGGACCCGAAGGTTCATTACCTTTCCTGATATGGATTAGATTTTTTTATTGCTAGTGGGGTGGGTCTAAGTCCCTTGTACTGCGGCTACTTCTGGCCTATTGTACCAGCCCCAGATGATAGGTGAGGGTGATTGTGGAGCAATTCGTGGAATGAAGATTGGCAGGGGAAACCGAAGTATTCGGAGAAAACCTGCCCCAGCACCACTTTGTCCACCACAAATCCCACTTGACCAGACCCGGGATGGAACCCGGGCCGCCGCGGGGGGAAGCCAGCCGCGAACCGCTTGAGCTATAGCGCGACCCATGGATTGGATCGATCTGGCTCAGGATAGTGACCAGTGGAAGATTCTTGTGAACACGGTAATGAACCTTCAGGTTCCATAAAATGCAGGGAAATTCTTGAGTAGCTGCAGGTTTGGCTTCTTCTCAAGAAGGGCTCAGCTCCTTAAGTAAGTAAGTAAGATGATGTACTGGGTTTGAGGGTCACAGCTGTCTCTGTGAAGAGTACAATCTTCTGGGCTGTAACGTTGTAAAGTCCTGAAAAAGGTCCGACGTTTCAGAAGAATATTCCGCCACCATTTTTATGGTCGAAGAGTAAACTACGCAGAAACGCATCAGAAACAGACAGCAAGATGAAGGATTACTTTCCTCCAAAATGTGGGAGTTTCTCTGAACCCAAGGTAGCTGGGTATATGAACGTACCTGGTTAGCTGCGTTCTGCGCGCAGTCACACTCAGAATAAATGATAGCTTGAAAGAGCAGAGATGCGGCAAAGAAAACAAAGTTGAAATTGTCCTTCAATTCGACTATAAAGCCGTAAGTGACAAGAACACTGATTGTGCAGAAGAGGAGAGTATGGCTGCCGTAAGTGAAGCCAGTGGCGTTGCCAAGATCTTGCGTGAGCTGGCGCAGGTGCAACCAGAAAGTCCTGTAAGTGGAGATCTTGATGCCCCTCGCGGAGCCTCGTGACGAGAAGTGCTGAAATTCAAGAGAGCACATCATCAGATTTCAGCAGCTAAAATTTAAATTGTAAGATTAAGCAGTTCTACTTCCTTAGTTTTCTATTCAGCCTAGAACAAGGAGTAATTATATTGCTGTCTTTAAATTTCTAACAGACAGTAGCAGGTAAAAAGTAAAATTATCCCTGTAACAGGCAGTGGAGGCCCATAGGGCTGTGAGACGTCGACGCTCCCACATTTTCTAGATAATCGGCTTAGAGTTGGCGGTGAGGTTGTCAGACTTACACGCCGGCCTCCTTTTAGCCCCCAGGAAGATCCCTGGTACTCATTTCTGTTAGAGACTGATTCGAACCCAGGGTCATAATGCGGCTGGAAGTATTAGGTAAATTGAAAATATCCAATGAAATCTGGAATCGAAGCCGCGGCCTTCCGGATTGTAGTACAGTGCCTCAACGAACTACGCTACCGCGTGCCCCAGACAATATTTGCTCATATCATGTAACATATTTATTTTCTTTACTTTCTTACTTGTTCCATGTCATCTGCTAGAGCAGTAGCAACTTTGATGATTACGGAGCAAGTGATCACCCAGATAAAAGGCAGAATAACGGACATAGAGGACGCAAATGCAATGCCGATGATGTGCCACCATTGTGCGACAAAGCCCCTCTGATACGCCATCATGGTTAAAGCCGCTACCAGCACAGCACTGATAGGAAGAATCAAAATAACTTTCCCCCGTACACCAAGACGCAGTTGCCTCCCTGACATGAGCCTGTATTCCGCCTGAAATAAAGACAAAATGCAAGTAAATAATTCTTCTTCGCGTCTTATTTTCCCCCCTTGGCACTACAACCCCAGAGGGCCTAGGCCTACCTCCATGAACTTCTCCGTTGGTTTTTCTAGATCTTACACATACGGTATGACTCCTTGGGCGGGTGATCAGCTCGTCGCAAGGCCTCTACCTGTACACAAACACAGAGAAACGCACACACACAAACTAAACATCCATGCCCTGAGTGGGATTCGAACCCACGATCCCGGCTTCCGTGCGAGAGAAGACAGTACATGCCTTAGACCGCTCGGCTACCGTTTGCGTCTTATTATGTCGTAATATTTTCTTGTGTTAAATGATAAAAAATATATTGTACTTATTTTGTAAATTGTTACAAGTAGCACTAGGTAGAACAAATCGCCAATTTTCCTTTGTTACGACACGGATCACATAAATATTTTTTTTTCTCATGGGGTGAGAGTGAGTCCATTTGGTGGTGCGGCCACTGTTTGGCCTATTGTACCAGACCCAGATGATAGGTGAGAGTGATTGTGGAGCAGTTGGTGGAATGAAGATTGGCAGGTGTAAACGAAGTACTCGGAGAAAACGTGCCCCAGCGCCACTTTGTCCACCACAAATCCCACATGATTTAACCCGGGCTCGAACCGGGGCCGCCGCGGTGGGAAGCCGGAGGCTAACCGCCTCAGCTGTGGCACGGCTCCCAACTAACTAACTTCATTGAGTTGAGTCCTTCTTGAGGAGCCGCCAATTCTGCAGCAACTCAAGACATTCCCCGCATTTCATGGAACCCGAAGATTCATTACCGTGTTCACAAGAGCACTCTACTGATCCCTGTCCTGAGCCAGATCAATCCAATCCATACCATCCTATCCCATCTCTCTAAGACCCATTTTAATATTGTCCACCCACTTACGCCTTGATCTTCCTAGAGGTCTATTTCCTTCTGCCTTTCCCACCAGTATTCTATATGCATTCCTCTTCTCCCCCATTCGTGCTACATACCCTGCCCATCTCATCCTCCTTGATTTGATCATTCTAATTATACTCAGAGAAGAGTACAAGTTATGAAGCTCCTCATTATGCAGTTTTCTCCAACCTCCTGTCACTTCATCTCTCTTCGGTCCAAATATTCTCCTCAAACACCCTCAGTCTGTGTTCCTCCCGCAATGTCAGAGACAAAGTTTCACACCCATACAGAACCACAGGCAAAATTATAGGTTTGCATGTTCTAATTTTTATGTTTTTGGACAGCAAAACGAGAAGACAAAATGTTCTGTACTGAATGGTAGCAAGCAGTACCGAGTTCAGTCTCCTCCGGGTGAGGAATTCGTTGAGCAGGAAGTGTAAGGTCCTGTGGCCACCACCGCAGTGCTGACCTTACCTCCTGAGAAACCACGCTACCCGAAATATGGTGACTTTACCCTAATGTTGGTATTCACGTTTATGAGAACTTCAAATCCAGCAGAGTAGAAAAACACTTTGTCTTATATCTGTGACTCTACTTCGAAAAGAGCGTCCATACCTGCAGCTGTGTCCACGTATTGAGGAACTTTATTTTCTTGCCTGTCTCCAGCCAGTGGCATATCGGTATAATAAATACGGACGAGATGAACAGTCTTCCTGCATATTCAATTGTTTTGTCTGCAAAAGTATAAACGGTAGTCGAGTCCATATTGATTCTCTCTACCAGATTGAATCCAACGAGTGCGGTAACCGTGCTGATGAGTACAAATGAATAAAACATGGCTACAGAGAGCCATTTGAAGTACACGTCACCTGCAACAGAGAGAGCACTCTTGTGGCTATTGAAAGAAACACTTATCAAGTAATTTTCCATGGCCGCGCCATAGCTCAAGCGGTTAGTCGCTGGCTTCCCACCGCGGCGGCCCGGGTTAGGTCTAGTGGGATTTGTGGTGGACAAAATGGCGCTGGGGTAGGTTTTCTCCGAGTACTTCGGTTTCCCCTGCCAATCTTCATTCCACCAATTGCTCCACAATCACCCTCACCTATCATCTGGGGCTGGTTAGTCCCACCCCACTAGCAATAAAAAAAAAAAAGTAATTTTCCATGCACTGTAAAACGTGTTTTCGATTTGAGTTTCTCAAGGCCGTGATTATGAATTGTACGGCCTTGTGGGTTGTAACTCCGTGTAGCTTGGAGATAGCCCGACCTCTTGCAACAATATATTGCCTCCATCTTCAGGATAGACTTGTAAACAGAGGAAGAAACTGGCAGAAGCTGATCTCAGCTTCACACAACGTCTCACAACCCTATGGGCCTCCACGACATGTTACAGGGATAGCTTTACCTTATCTCACGGCTATCTGTGAGCCGATTGTCTAGAAAATGTGGGAGCCTCGACGTCTCACAACCCTATGGGCCCCCAGGGCGTTTTACAGGGATAACTTTAGCTTATCTCGCCGCCATCTGTGAGCCGATTACCTAGAAAATGTGGGAGCCTCGACGTCTCACAACCCTATGGGCCTCCACGTCCTGTTACAGCGATAACTTTACTTTACTTTTTACTTAATATATAGACTATGAAAGAAATATGAGAAAGGGTGTGTAGTTAAATTCGTGGAACAGATGGATAGAGCGGTTTGCATTGCCTGTAGTTAGGTGTTAAATTTATCTCAAGAGTCGTACTCGTATCTTTGTTATTACCTGTTGAAGTCACGCCGTAGGGCAAGACTCCAAGTACTCTGAGTACAATCATAACAGGTTTCATTTCTTCGTACAGTGTGAGGGCATCATTTTCGGCTTTCCATTCCGACGGACATGACGCTCTGTGACGTGGCGTCCTTACAGCCAGTGGCACGTAGAACACTTCGGTTGTCTGCCCTGGTGGACGGTACCTGGGAAAACCACGTGCTTGATCGGGATACTCCATTGTTCTCTGAAATTTATGCAACTTTTTAAAAGAGTGCATTTCGATACTTAAGTTGTAGTATAATAAGTGTTCGTTGGTCTTAAACGTACAGTTACTGTGTTTCTGGACATTATCCGTCGTTATTACTATAGGATTCTGACGATGGTGTATAACACACTGATATATTGGGGGTTTTTTCTTACTTTATCCATCGTCCTGGTTTTTAAAATAACTAATAAAAACACGACGTTTCGGAAACTGGATCTGTTTCCGTCCTCACGGGACCCAATGATTGAGGCTAGCTCTTTCTAACGGACCCAACAGAATAGGTGTTTTCCTTCGCCTGAGGACGGAAACAGATCCAGTTTCCGAAACATCGTGTTTTTATTAGTTATCTTAAAAACCAGGACGATGGATAAAGTCCGAAACCCCAGTATATCAGTATCCGTCGTTATGTTTTTATTTAAATAACACAGCCTTTGGAGACTGCATTCTGTCTCCGTCTTCAAGTGGAACATATCTCTGGACTAGGTCCGGAAACGGAGACAGATTCCAGTTTCCGAAACGTTATGTGTTTTAAACAAAAACAGGACAACGGATAAATACCTTGGTCGGCATAGCAAACAGAAGACGCAATGGGTGACGGATGAGTCGGGGTATCGATTCCCGATAGGGGAAATAATTTTCTTTCTTCTCCGTAAGGTCCCGACCGGCGCTGGATCCTATCAAGAGGCTAAATGAAGAGTCCGATAAAAGATGGCACTGCTGACGGTGATTGTTGAGGTTATAAATAACGTGTACATATATAGCTATTTATATATCTGCATCATCTCTCGGGTGGTTGTCACAAGCACCCTTATTTGGGCACGGAATGTTTTAATTCAAAAGTAAAATTGTGTTATTTTGGGGTTATGCGTGTTTTAACTGATGGTTTTATTTGTATATTTAGCCTTAGGATATAACGTTTTGGATTGCAATTTATAGAAGTTTTAAATTCCCAGGTCCTGTACCTCTGAACTCTTGAAGATCCATCTTTCAATTCCGACAGTGCAACCAGGCATTTTATATTGTCAGAGATACTTACCTTTTCTGGATTTATAACATACGAAAGTACAACAGTACTTCAAATATGTGTACAGATAGTGCCTCCAAGTGTTTCCTCATCATCTAGTTCACATAAAATGCCAACAGATGTCGTGTAATTTCAAATAGTACAATTTCTTTATTTTTTTATTTTTTTTCTTTTAGATTTGGCGCTTGTACGGTTAATAATATACATATTAATGTGTTTATTTATTTTTTGTGTTCCTTTTAAGTGTAAAACATGATTTAAGAGGTTGTCTATGTGGAAACAAATATGAACTTAGAAAATTTCTCCAAATAATTGTTATAAATTATAGATAAAATGAAGTACTTACCTCCATTCAGAAATGTAAATTGTGTTCAGCATTCGTTTGTCATTGAAGTGACATTCTGAACTCACCCCGTTACATTATATGATCCTTTTTTTTTATTGTTTTGCGATTAATTGATACATTGGCTCCACGGCGAAACATTGCGTAACATTTCATGTCAACTTCATTGTGTTGTGTGGATATAAACAATGTCAAATAACACTCACATTAAGTGGAAATCGTCGACAACAACAGCTAACTTTAATATTTAATGAATAAAATGATAACATCGCGAAAGCCATTTCTTTACTTGCTTCCAAAGCACGAAGCAGCGGTTCCAGGAAAGCGTTTCTCAACCGATGGGGCTTAACCCTTTGAAGACTGAATTTCTTCTAAATAATATTGTAACATAATCTGATGTGATTATAGAACGGATTTTCAATCGATGACCAGATTTACTGGAATCTTTGATACAGCGCGACTATATTTTGCAGTTCACTATATGACAGTCCACAGTCACAGTCTTCACTGCCGTTGCTTGGTAGCGCTTTCCAACGTCGGACGTTTCCCTTCCTCTGGGTTCCGAACTATCCTCTGCCTAATTTTCCAAGTCCTAACGGCAACAGCTCACAAAGACTGAATACCAGTTCTTATGCAGAACATGTAATATTGTCGTCGAAACGTCCATGTAATTAATAACATTAGCACTTGTGAATTTTCTTTCTGTGGTGTCATTACTGGACCAACTAACAAAGACCTTCGTAGCACTTATAAACTCTATATTCGTTTTTCAGAATTATTATTACTGATATTCTGTTTTATTTTCGTAATATCTTTTTACTACTTATTTTGCCTGCATTGTATTTGTCGAATATAACTTCAAAAGTTTCGCACTAACGCCATATTTGTGTAGCTATATTTGTGATCTAATCCCGTACAAAATTTCAAAGTATAACTGGGGGACAGACAGCATAACCCTCTCATAAGCTCCAATTGTTATTTTCTACGCTCTTCGACATTAGCCCAAGTTTAAGATGCCACTTTCACAACAGAACGTACTTTCGGATTAATTTGTCGAGATTAATTGTATTTATTCCCGAAGATATCTCACCGAAATTTAATTGTTTCTTGCATTCTGTTGTGTATTTAATCAATATTAGAGTCAATTTTACCGACCACACAACATGTTTTTATTATTATTACACAACATGTTTCGACCTCAAGAGGTCATCCTCAGGTGTACGTACACAGCTGTATAATAATGTGATTGCGTGTAATTATACAGCTGTGTTCGTACACCTGAGGATGACCTCTTGAGGTCGAAACATGTAGTGCAATAATAATAAAAACATGTTGTGTGGTCGGTAAAATTGACTCTAATATTGATATCTCACCGAACTCCAGTGTTTCACTGAACACAGCGTGAAAATTTCCGTGGCCTGTAGTCCGCAAGCGAACTATACCGACCGAGCGACCGCCGTTTGTCGGCGAAGTTAGTGCCAACTTTAGCTGATAGAGGGTGTCGCGTGGTCGGCGCAAAGAATCCCCACAGTCGTTAATCTCTGCTTTCTTGACCGGAGCCGCTATTTCCTTGAAATAGCTTCGCAATTATCATCACGAGGCTGAGTGGGTCCGCTACTTCTCAGAAAATCTGGTAGCGCCGGGGATCGAACCCGGACCTCTGGATCTGTAGCCAGAAATTCTGACCACTAGATCACAGAGGCGGTCAGTTTAAAAAACAGAGACCTTTAATATCGACCATTGTATATTTCTTAGTTTGCCACCAAACTTTATCGTTGCAACGCTTATCACTGTTCCCATACTTTGTCTACTAAAGGACGCTCTTAATAGCTGATTGTAGCTACTGTTGGGGCTGTAGCTACAAATTATAGGATGAATAATGAATAATGAATAATGAACTGGAAAAGTGATTGAAGTATATGGGGTAATTTCACGATTTTTCCTCAATTTGAATAGATGTACTGAGAAAAACCGCGAAAAAACTGAGTCAGGTTAAGCGGTGTTATTGTCGAGCTTCGAACTGGAAACATCCACAACACAAAGCAGGAGTAAACACTCGACCAGGTAATTCTCAGATCAATTCAGTTTATTAATAATTTCCTTCAATTTATAAACAGACTTTAAACGTTCTACAATAGTTCTTGGAAAGTATTGAATATGAAGTTCTCACAGCGATTAATATGAATGTTACTATGTTTTTGGATGTGACGCCATGTAGTCCGTTTGAAAGTTAATCAGTGTTTCAGAAGAATATATTGCTTCCATCATCAGGGTAAAAATTAAGCCAAGTAAGTGACCAACAAAAATGAGACAGCGAAAAAATCAGAGGGTGTTTTGTTTGCTTCTTGCTTTCTACTTCCTACGTAGATTATTTACCGACCATGAAGATGTAGGCACTACGTCACGCAGAAACGTCGGACTACACGGCGTCACATTTCAGAATATAAAAATATTGTTACGGGCGTTAATGATTAGTGCTATTTGAATATGAGATACATATACCAAAATATAAAACGGTGAGTGTAGGATTTTTAACAACACTTAAATATTGTGGTCCCTTCAGAAATATCTTTCAATATCAACAGTTCATTTTTCTCTTTTCTCGCCTGTTACATTTTTATTAACTGCTGAATCGACGCTTATCTGGAACTGAATGAGGATAACTAGGTACGTCACCATCGCAGACATAAGCTGAAACAAAAAATGTTACAAAAAATTCACGAACTTGCAAAAACACACAACATCCTAGTTTTCAGTTTAGTAATGTAAGTTAAAAGTAAATATATACCTACGTTTAATTAGTTAAGCACCACGCCATGAAGACGTATGGAGGACTAGAGGTATAGCTCCACCATTCTTAACCTTGGCACTAGATGGAAGTGAGTGGTCAGCTTCATGCCCGGCCGTTTTACCGCAGGGGAAGAACCCCCGGTACCCATTGAATATGAGGCTGGTTTGGCCCCAGAGTCAATTTGGACAAATTGGAGAAGAAAATTCTTGATCCTATCTGGACTCGAACTCCGACCCCTCTCTCATCCAACCCGTAGCCAGTCTCTATGCCGACTACACTATCCCGGCTTTCAGTGATGTAGAACTTAATTTTTAGATATTATTATTTAAATGAAGGTATATAAAAACTTAATTATAAAATTGTCTGTGGTTCTGTATGAGAGTGAAACATGGTCTCTTACATTAAGGTAGGAACACAGACTGAGGGTGTTTTAGAACAGCGTACTGAGGAAAATATGGGGGTACAAGATGGAAGAAGTAACATGAGATTGGAGAAAACTGTGTAATGAGGAGCTTCATAACGTATGCTCCACACCGAAGATTACGATAAGCAAACGAAGAGGGAATGAATTGAGCGAGGACTGTAACAAGCAAAGAAGACAAGTACGTATGAATTATTGCTAAGAAAACCTGAAGGAAAGAGATAACTGGGAAAACCCAGGCATAAATTACCGTATTTACGCATGTATAGGCCGCACATTTTTTGCCAAAAATTCAAGAGGAAAACTGGGGTGCGGCTTATATTCGAAATATTCGAAATCACACTTCATTTAAAAAAAAATATATTCATAATTAGTAATACAGGGTGTTCTACTCCTGAAATAATATTCCAAGAAAATTATTTTTTCTATAATTTCTGTCTGAAAATTGTGCTGCGGCCTATACACGCACGCGGCCTATACATGCGTAAATACGGTATAGGTTGATAATAATGTGATGTGCTGCCAGGAAGGCCGGACTGTAGAACGTCCATTGCTGGTCAACAACTAACAACACAAGGAAATATAAACAGATCGTTGCCTAGGGAAGTGCTTAAGTAACAGAGACAGAGTTGAGTTCCCACAGCAACGAATGCGCAACAATAAGGCGTCCATTGCTAGGCAATGTAAGGGTGAACACGTCTGAAAACAATACATGATATCCGTTGCCAAGCAGCAACGTGTTTTCTGTGGGTGGTCGGTGCCGAACCTATATAGGGAGCAGTGAGCACGAAGTTCCAAAGAGCGGCAAGGGAAGACCCAAGAACGAAGGCTCCACCGAGAATAGCGATGTATAAGCCATTGAAGGGGGGACGTGAAAGACGTTACTGAGAATGATTATATTTGTGACTGTAAACAAATAATTGTCCAATAAACATTGGTGTATAATCTGAAACGCATCTTTCTTATCGCGTTACCTAGGAAGCACGTGATGATAATAATAACAAACTGTTTCACAGCCATACAGGATAGGAGGTTGTGGACTGGATTCATCTGGCTCAGGATTGGGATCTGCGGCGGGCCCTTTTTAAACACACCAATTAACTTTTGGGTGCCATAATGTACTGGAAATTTCTTGATTAGATGAGTAAATATCAGAGACGCAAATAGTTCTCAGGTCAATGGAGCAAATTATATATATATTATTTATAGGTATTTAGTGCTTTATATATATAAATATAGTATATATTGTTTTTCATTTTTTCCGCGTAATACCTATACGGAAAGGAATGACTTACCGACGTTTGAAGGCCTCTGTTCACTACAACAAATCCTGAAAAGTTGATTTGGGGTGGATTTTCAGCAATCGCTTCCAAAAAATATCGTACCTGTAAAGGGAACGGTAGATGACATTAAGAGCAGGCGTGTAACAGCCGCTGAAAATAAAGCGAAAATTTTCATCTTTCGTTATATAAGCTTTCCTACTATTAACTTCCTCTGCTTTATCCCACATTCTTTTCCAGCCCTACGTGTTATCAAATGATGAGTCGAGGTCGACGTTTAACGCTATCTTCTGAGTATAACACTCATAAATAGTCAATCATAAACTTTCTCGTTTCTATAGCATACTATACTTCACACATACATATACAAATATTTCTGATACTCTCAAAATAGACACAATACACTGAAAAAGTCTACAAATAATTTACGAAGATACGTGTTAAGTTCGACAATTCGTTAATATGGTGACCTGCAATTACGTAATAACAATGATAATTCTTACGCGTAAATCTTTTTCTATAAATAGAAACATAAGAGAAAATGAGCGGTGCTTTGAAGACCCCCAGAGCCGTCAGAGAGTACAGTAAAATATGGTTGTGAGTTCGCGGGACCGAGGATCATTTTGCTGGCGAAGACTACGAGAAATTCAGCGTGCATTCAGTAGGGTCTGAGATCGCGAATATTCTTGTAGAGTTACATAACCCAGGGTGACGAAGATGCAGAACACAAAAATAGTTCAAGGCAAGCAAGAAATCGACGTGAAGCAGTCAGCAAGTTGAAAGACGAACGTTTTCATTTAGGGCTGGAATAACCAAAGAAAATGTAACAGGATGGAACACACATTTACCTCTTGTCTACTTTCAGAACATCGTCTCGGGAACTTGTGGAACAGAACCTGAAGCCTCTCTTGCACGTGTCTCCCTACCTTAAGAGAAAGTGAAACAAATTAATTAGCAGACGAGAAATAACATTTTTTCCCCCTTGGCACTACAGCCCCAGTGGGCCTAGGCCTACCTCCATGAACTTCTCCGTTCACTTCGGTTTTCTAGATCTTACACATTCGGTAGGACTCCTTGGGCGGGTGATCAGCTCGTCGCAAGGCCTCTACCTGTACACAAATACAGAAAAACGCACACACACACAAACTAAACATCCATGCCCTGAGTGGGATTCGAACCCAAGATCCAGGTTTCCAAACGAGCGAAGACAGTACATGCCCGAAATAATTTTACTGTCCTCAATTTAAAAGTTCTTTTAATGTTACGCTCAATTCAAGAAATAGTGAAAACTTGGTCTCTGACTTTAAGGGAGGAACACAGACTGAGGGTGTTTGAGAACAGGGTGCTGAGGAGAATATTTAGACCGAAGAGAGATGAAGTGACAGGAGGTTGGAGAAAATTGCATAATGAGGAGTTGACCGGCAGCCACACGCTATAAGAAAGAGAGGCCGACCTAAGATCAGAGGGAAAGATGACGTAAGGGAACACCTAGAGGATGTAGGAATTTATAAGTGGATAACAGAAATAGTTGGAAGGAAATTGGTGAGCAGGTCAAAGCGTTCAAGAAATGGAACTGTCTAGCCTTATGAAGAAGAATTAAAAGGAATAAATCTATTCACCAATCCAAACCCCTTCTATAGTCACACACATACTATGTAACAATACTGCCTTCTGGGATATAGTGGAGTGTAGCTGTAAGCTTACTCCTTGATTCTTGTATGTTGCTTTGCAGATATTGGACACTAAACGTGGAGATATGTTCTTCCGAAACGTCGGTGAACTATCTGATTAAATAGTCTCACATCACAGAAAATGATACTGTTCCAGAATTTTCTTACCTCATCTGTTGCACGTTGAGCTGTGTTGCACGTGACGAATATTAGCCAGGAAAATATAATGACGTCGGACACAAAACCGATGTTACTGCTGCTAAAACCCTCCTCCATATTGGCCAGGAGTCCGAACACGGCCATAACCTGCTCGAAGAAGTAGCCAATCACCTGTGCGCCAGAGAAACACAATCCTTTTGTTGCTGCTTTCACGTTTCCACCAGGGTTCACAGTTCATAGTTCATATTGAATCAATTCTAGTAGTAGTAGTAGTATAATAGTAGTAGTAGTAATAGTAGTAGTAGTAGTAGTAGTAGTAGTAGTAGTAGTAGTACTAATGACGAACAATCCTTTAGAGCTCTTACATTATACCACAGAATCTGCTGATGCTTCAAATATTTCAAATGCATTCTCTGGTATAATTCGTATTGTGACGAATATGACCATTGCTAGACAACGGTTCAGTAAACACGTTCACGAAGTTACGTAGTCAACAGTAGAATGACCTAAGTTATTGGTTAGCAAGTCACTAGGCACGGATAAACAGAGACTAACAGAATAATACACGAACTGTTCGAGATGGTGGTATCTTTTCGTTTCGCTCCGAGTTATAACGTAAAAGAGAGATCGTTCGTGAATTCATTGGTTGATTCTATCCCGTGTGGAGGCGGGGTCGAATACCTCCACCGTGACCCTGCGAGTCATAGGAGGAGACGAAAAGGGAAGTCTCAAATCTGAGACAGTAAAATATGGTCAGGAGTCCCAAGGGACTCGGACCCGAGAAAGTCTGTGCTGGCCAGGGACAGCAGCATAAACAAAAGACAGACCTATCTTATCATCAGAGAAGGCGCCCAACATCAACAAACCTGCAACTGTCAGACAGTAACAAAAATCTGGTCGTAAGCCCCAGATGGGTGCTTTATACCAAGAGAGACTGGCCTACTGGCCGTCGGTCGTAACATAAGACTCGCACTCAGTTCATTGATTTGATCCTCAGAGATTTCAATCATTTGTAAGAGAGTTCAGTGTTCAGCTGTGGAGTGCTAACCAGCGGACAGCGGAGGCTGAAGAAATGGCCGACTCAGAAATCAGAACCAAATCAGTCACAGTGGAACAGAAGGCACTCGTAGTCCAGAACGGAGCAAATCTTAGGCAGTCACTGATTTTGAGTTGTTATAATTGATTATAATTGTAAAGAAGTGACAATATCCAATTATAGAATCCAGAACCCATTATTATTAGTCACGGAACCCCGGACACGTGATGGTATTAATGCCATCTTCGAGCGAGAAGTGCATCTAAAACACCCTTTCAGGTCGATTCATCATCAGACAATGACGTACTTCGTTACGTCATCATTAGAAATTTAGTAAAATTTATTTTGGAATTGCGATGGGAATAATGCTTAGTAAACCGTGGAGTTGGGCGCGCCATAGCTCAAGCGGTTAGTCGCTAGCTTCCAACCGCGTCGGCCCGGGTTCAAACCCGAGTCTGGCCAAGTGGGATTTATGGTGGACAAAGTGGCGCTGGGGCAGGTTTTCTCCGAGTACTTCGGTTTCCCCTGCCAATCTTCATTCCACCAAATTCTCAATCATCATAATCACCCGTGGCAGCTACAATAGGCCAATCAGTGGCCACCGTAC